AAGACTTTCGAGTTTCGGTAAGACTTTCGAGTTTCGGTAGGACTTCGAGTTTCGGTAGGACTTTCGAGTTTCGGTAAGACTTTCGAGTTTCGGTAGGACTTTCGAGTTTCGGTAAGACTTTCGAGTTTCGGTAGGACTTTCGAGTTTCGGTAGGACTTTCGATATGACTTTCGATTTCGACATGACTTTCGGCACGCCAAAATACTTTCGGAGCCATCCTTAGTTCAGACCATTCTAAATGTACTCTATAGGGGTATTTGAGTTAGAATTTCGGGTACATTTAAAAAACCCCGATTTATTGATCAAATACCCGCAATTTTTTGTGGTTATTATATGTACCCTATACATACACTTGATTCTGTATCAATATAATTTACCTATTGTAAAATCATAAAGTACTAAATAATAATTTTAATTGCTAAATAATTGAGATATATTAGGCCCTATAAAATCTTAAATTGGTTTTAAAAGTAAAATATTAGTATTTTTAGGCCTTTAAAATTGCTAATAAAAATTATTAATAATGCAATAATTTAGAACTAAACTATTTAAATACTAAGGCTATACAAATTTAATAAATCGGTTTTCATAACCCGGCCGGTCAAAATTTGCAAAGGTTTACAAAAAAAAATTATATTTACATTTACTATCTGGGTGCATTTTTTTAAACAAAAATCTATAAAAGTTTTATATACTTTTTATATATAAAATTTTTTAAAATTAAAAGTCAGGCTGCCGGGTCATTTTTAAGATTTTATTTTATAAAATCGACAAGTAAATTGAAAGTCAACTTTGTATAGTACTTTATTATCCTAATTATAGGCAAATTATTGCATAATTTAAAATTCCAATTTTTTGTAAAGAATTTTTATCTTCTTCCTCTGTAAAACGACTTAAATAAGGCGAAAATTCTTTAAATCTAATAAAGTAAATTTTACTTATCACACTGGTAAGTATTGAAAGACTTAACGATGCTGAGGTAAATATCGGAATAGGACCGAGTAGGACGCTAGAATTAATGTATAATATCTAATAAAAATTCATATTGTTAGCAAAATTATATATTTATTTTTATTTTATTTTAAATGTACCTGAATAATAAATTGTGGTATTTCTGAAAAAATTATTTCAGCACATGCACCCCAAAAGATTCTTTTCAACGAGCTATCGTTAAATGGCGCATTGAAAATGTCAAGTCCCGCAAAACACGATTTTAACATCAATAATGCATCAATATTTGTGCCGGATAATAATGCGACTATAACAGCATCTCTTCCATTTCTAGCAAACCATCCAACATAATTCTGACTCTGACCAGAAAACAATATCCAAAATGCTATAAATAAGTTGATTACTGTGGGAATCACTAAAAATGCTACACTAATTATATGAAAAATATAAATTTAATGATAGATAATCATCTAATATTATTTGATTAATATATAATATTACCACGGTACAAAAAGATATGGGATTGCCTTCGAATCAACAATAACAAATGTTGTGAATGTGCCAAAACGAAATAAGGCAATACCAAGTTGGAAAATAATAAAGTTTTCACTCTATATACAGTATTTTTGTGTATATTATGCATGAAGAAAAAATAGCTAAAAATTAAATTCTTTTAACTAAAGAAAAATTATTACCTCTTTGTATACTGGTTCTTCTCCTGTTGCTTTGGCCCTAGCTTTAGCACGGTTAGATATTATCAAGGTTCCTAAGAATGCTAATATAAAAATGGCTATGACTAAAAACAATACAATGAACTTTGTTTTGTGTAAATCAAAGTATTCTGATATGTTCACTATTAAAACGGATAGAGAAAATCAATTATTTAAATTAGAATAAATAATTCATAAATCAAAAAAAATATATAATTCTCACTAGATCGTTTATACCCATATGTTTCATCTAGATAAGCCGTAGTAGGTCCTGTTAATATATTCGTATATTCTTTATTCTTTATTAACAGGTCTAAATTTTCCAATATGTATATGGCAGACATTTTGTCATCATTATTACTTGTCTCATTAATAAAAAGCAAGATAATAACTTTCGACAAATCAGATAGATCTAATTGATAATGTTCAGTGGTACTCAACCTTCCTTTCTTTGTAGGAATTCTTTCTGT